TTGATGCCCTGTGCTAGAATGAAGAAGCGTTCAGTTCTGAAGAAATGCTGTATGAAGCAAGTTTGTGCAGAGCTAAACGTTCTGCTACCTACATTCGTGAATCCTGACGGACGTTTTTCAGTCCCCTCAGTCTTTTAGGCCGAGATGGTGCCTTTGAACAGCCACAACCCTCCCCTTACAAATCCTTGCCTGTGACTAGCTGGGAGTTGGAAGATCCTGGTTCTATTCCCGGCAGAGGCATGGAGTTCGCTTTCCGCCTTCGAGTCTAGGCTGTTCATTGGAGTACTCGAAGTTGGGGAATGGAAACATAAGTACAGTCATTTTTTGCCGTCTTATACGTGCAGAGTAAGGCGGTGCCGGCAGTGTTGTTATGGTGGAAAAGTCTATATACAGATTTTAATTAATAAATACGATTTACGTATTTTTTATTCCGAGGAAGAGTATATGAATCACCCCGTGACTTTTTATTCTCTCTTACGCAAGTTCCTGCATTTTGACAGTTGACCTTGTATTATTTACGTATGTTTTTTTTTTTTGTCTGGATGTGTTTACATTTCACACAAGTGCCCTGTGATCGGTTTTATGAAGCTTACAGCTTAATAATTGCGAATGCCTTAGAAGATGGAATCTACTAAAAGGATTTTGATAACATTCTCGCATTTCGATATAATATGAAAGCCATATCTTTTTGCATGGAGAGATGTTCGAAACTGTCTGTAGCTGTGCGGAGCCCATTCTACTTTCATCAGATTAAGGAAGTTAATGAAATGCACATAATGTGCTTCGTTTATTTGTAGACTGTTTCCTGAGGTTGTAGACTTACGTTATCGTTGTATCTATAAATTATGAAACAATCTCGTATGTGTATACAAGACAATTGGTATTAACATCATGCCGCCATTAAGGATCACTGATGACGGAGCATGAAGGGAGGGGAGGTGTGTTTGGAGATAGCGTCTGGTGGCAGGAGTCAAGTTAAAGAATACCTTTCAGAAGACGTTGGGAACATTATTTGCGCTACTGGTGTTTAACATTAACTTTCACTGCCTACGCGCTACGCCAACTTGCTATTAGCATTATTAAACCTGTTGCTGTGTTTCAAACCTTATAACCGAGCTAGAAAAGCACGTGCTTTCATCGAAGGCAGTCTTACTAGGTACATACAAACGGATAGACGGAGTTCGTAGGTCGTTTCTTAAGTCACTGACGTGGTGACGCTTCAGAATAAATCTAGCTTGTGAGGGGGATTGGTCCTAAAACGATGTTAATGTGACAAGCCATAATGTAATGCAAGGACATAGGGTTTCTCTTCGGCGAAAGCTCACATAACCTAACAAGACGGTCCTTTGTCTAATTTAATGTAAGACAGACAGAGACGTTGTGTCCCACATACCGACATCTTCTTCTTTACGAAGTGCGTGTTGGTCATTCTAGTGTCCTCTCTGCCCTTGTATGTGATTGTATGACGCGTTTGCATCTCTGCGTCTGCCTATTTGTACCCATGAACCAATTCGAGAACGATTAAAAGGACTTTCATGAAATTTTATATCGAGAACTTCCACTAAAATTTGTCGATACATTCCAGTTTTTGGTTAAAATTGGATATCCTGATTGTCCTGCAAACGGCCGACTCGATCAGGGTTTTCCGTTGTTTTCCTCGATCCTACAGCAAACGTTAAGTTGGCACTTCCACACTTCACCTTGCACTGTATGCCTCTTGTATATCCCTCCTAATGTTAATATCACATTTCCGCCCGAAAGTAGTTCTCGCCTACGTTAATATAAACATTCCACGGAATGCCGCCATCCCAAAGTTCACGTCAAAATTCCGATCGAATTCAGAAAGACGTTGCTCCACTTTCCATTGCTCTTCTGTCTCACTCCTTTTCC